AAGTTTCTTCTGACTGCTATCCATCTCCTCCATCATTACCTTTCTAATCTTCCTTCACGTCTCTCAACTAACGATACTACATCATCTTCAATTTCTCTTATCTCTGTAGCCTTCGACAACGATCTGAGTCCACAGAACAGCATGACTGGTCTCCTTAAACCACGCTCCAAATTACATATTGGAGCCTTCAATGTCCGCACCCACTATTAGACTGGATCCCAGTTGATAGTTGCCTCTGCGCTATGAGACTGAACGGAACAGCAAGAACTAAAAGTAATAGTGAAACTCACCGTTTTCTTTTTGTAATCTCTGCTTACGCACCCACTGACTGCAGCTCGGATGAAGTGAAGGACGAGTTCTATCGTAAACTGTCTAACCTCCTCTCGAAAACCAAACTTTCGGACATGGTGGTTGTTGCAGGTGACTTCAATGAATAGATGGATAGACTGAGTGAGGCAGAAAGGCACTTAGGTAGCACTTACGGAGTCCCGGCTGAACGTACAGATAACGGTGATCGCCTATACAACTATGCTCAGATAACCGCTTATTTTTAGTTAGCACAAATTTCAGATATAAAGAAAGACACTGTCTGATGTGGTGTCCACCGAGATCAACTCAGCGATGAACACAGATAGACCACATTGCTATTAGTCATCGCTGGAGAGGATCGGTAGAAGATTGCCGCTCCTTCTGGAGTACCTGCTTGGATAGCGATCATGCGAGCGCGTTTATGCCTGCGACTCAATGGGCGTAGGAAACATTTGGCAACAAAACCACTACGAGTGCTCCTGGACAACGAAAACATTAAAGCCATATTCGGTGAAACGTTGGCTATGCAGTTATCGCAACAGAAGACTATCACTGATTCAGAAGAAGCCTGGTGCCATCTCAAGTCTGCTGTAAAAGCAGCACTGAAGACTGTAACCGACTCCAAAATAGTGGCTAAAGAGCCAGTGGGTATCAGCAGCTTCTTCCGAACTAATGGATGCACGTGAACGCATCTCTGCAGGCTCTGAGTACAATGAACAGCGAAAGCAACTTAAAAGTAGACTGAGAAAAAGTCTGTGCAACGACCGCGAACAGTGGTGGACAGCGAAGGCTAAAGAGATGGAAAAGGCAGCGGTGATCGGTAATAGTAGACAGTTATTTAGACTTATTAAGGAGACTGAGGGGAAAAGGTCAACTGCGGTTAGTGAGGCTATGGTGGAAAAATATGGATCTGCGATTCACTCGCAGGGTAGACAACTGGAACGATGGGCAGAACACTTTGAGGAACAGTTTAACTGGCCTCCAGCCACGATTGTGTTGTCCGCTATCCAGTCGGATCCTGAATGGAACATTCAGATAGGCCCCTCAACACTAGCAGAAACGAGGAAGGACAGCAGGACCAGACGAACTAACTCCTGAGGTATACAATGATGATGGTAGGGTGCTCTTAGTCAGGTTAACAAAAATATCAACTAGAATATGGGAATCAAATACGATCGCCTTTGACTGGTCTAAATCACTGATTATGCCAGTCATCAAAAAAGGCGAGAAGTCCTCTTGTGATAAACATAGAGGAATCAGCCTGACGAACATAGTATCCAAAATCCTAGGTTCTATAATTCTTCGACGCCTGAGTGGAGCTAAGGAACAGCAAACTCGAGTAAACCAGGCAGGCTTTAGATCCGGTCGCGGGTGTATCGACCAAATATTCACACTGCGCTAGGTTCTGGAACACAAACACGCTTACCAAAGCCCGACAATAGCTGTATTTCTCAACCCGGAGGTGGCATTCGACTCCGTTGATCGAGAAGTCTTGTGACAATGTCTATCCCTAAAAGGCATGCCGAGTAAGTACATCACCTTATTGAAAGCTCTCTACTCGAACCCTTGTGGGCATGTTAGAGACTATGGTGAGATGTCCGGGGAGCTATGCCCATCGAGTGGTGTCCGTCAAGGGTGCCCACTGTCTCCATTCTTATTCAGGTTTATCATAGATATTCTCATGGAGGTCTCCATCTCGTCACCTGATTACACAGACGTTGACCTAATCACAGGAGAATTTTCGTTAGACCGAGAATATGCAGATGACATAGTCCTGTCAAGTGAAGATGCTGACAAGATGCAGAGTCTTCTGCACACTGAGTGGCAATTTGAGGATGTTTGGGATGCGTTTCTCACCACACAAATACAAATTGTTGCTCTAGGATTGATCTCCAACAGTGCCTCAGCTAACAGTACAGAGTGTAGTGGTTGAGTGCGTCGACCACTTCACTTACCTGATAGATAGGATCAGCCCTGGTGGCTCAGTGACCGATGAAATCTCTGCACGAATGCAAAAGGCTCGGTTGGCTTTCGCCAACTTACACCGTGATATCCCACTATCTATTAAGGGTTGCGTGTACTGCACAGCAGTCCGGTCTGTTCTACTGTATGGCTGTGAAACATGGCCATTGAAGGTGGAAGACATGAGAAGGCTTCAAGTGTTTGACCACCGTTGCCTTCGAAGTATAGGCTGTATTCCGTGGTGTCGCCAACTGAGTAACAGATGTCAGGTGTACAGTTTTAGGGAGGTAAGTCAGTTGACGAGGTTGTAAACCTTCATAGATTGAAATGGTTGGAACACGTACTACGTATGCCCAGTCACGAATTGCCTCGTCACACAATGTTGACCGAAGTAGGTTCAGACTGTAAAAAGGACCGAGGCGGCCAGACCAAAACATGACACCGATGTATGAAGTCTTTGACTGTTGGTTTGAACCATGTGGGGAGATGCGAACTAGCAGGTTGGGGTCAGTGGGACAAGAGAAACCAGTGGTTGGAGACTGATTGTAGGTGATATGGCTCAGAACCGATGTCAGTGATGTATACACACATTATCCTCACCTTAACGACGCTATACCGAATCTCATCACTTTCTCATTCTTCATTTCTCTCTCTTAGTACTTTATATTTCTTTCGACTGAATATTCTTTTCTTCCTCTTCCACTTCACTGCCCTTTTACTTGATGTATTGATTTGAGCTGTGGCAACTCGGACCGTTACACAGTAATGCCCGGTCCTATGTTGATTTGGATGGGATGATGATTAGGTATAGCTCATCGTCATCTACATGAGTATGCACAAGGCTTCTGAGTGGATTTTTTGGCATTACATTGCATTTTTTAAAAATTTCTCCAGTGCAACAATATACTACAAAAGCACTGAGTAACCTTGACTTAATTTCTTTCATTCGGACTTCCTACAACTGTATCATTGCCTAAACGATCTTTCATCAATGAAATAATTTTTATTACAATCATTTGATCACGCAGATCGCATTTCTCTTTGGATATATTCCTTATAATTTGTGTATGACAAAGCAGCATAAAATATAAATCATCAAGTAAGAGACAAATTCGATAGAATCATAAGAAATCCAGTGTCTTTTCTGACTGTTTCAACCTAAGTTTCCTTCTATCCATACTTTTACTGACTTGCTTTTCTGTCTAACTAACTAACTGATGAGTCAGTCGGTTTCAGTAGATGCGAAAAGAAAAAAGACAACAGTATTAAACACAAAAATTCACAAAGAAAAATATACTGGATGATGATTGAAGGTGAAATGGAAATCTCGACCATGACCGGATTTGAATCAACGACTATCGAGTTCCCGACCGGTGCGCTACGAGGTCCGACTACTAACGAGATTTTTATTCCACTTCAATCACTAAGGGTTTTACTCGACTACCATATGAATTTGTGATGACAAAGAAAAATGTTTCATTAAAAAAAATAAGAGGGTTATAGGCACAGAACTCAAGTATTAGTGTACAAATGAAATCTTGTATAACCCTTAGTGACTGCGTATGCATGTGTAGTACACCGAGAATAACTTCTTAATGTCAGATTTAACTTCATAAGGACAAAACAAACTTTGATAGACTCAAATCAAAAGAATAGCACAGAGGATTGTGCAAAACCTTCATTAGTTTACGTTTTCATACATTTTAAAAAGCAATGAACGAGAAAACCAATAAAATAAAAGGTAGGAAATCATAATGAACTCAAAGAATGTAGCATGAGAAATATGAACATTAAAACCCTTCTCCAACTACAATTAGATACAGAAACGTTACCGCTGAAATTACTATTCAATTTGGAGGTTTGTAAGGACTTATTAGTATCAGTTTGTTACTCATCACGGACTGACATCCGTTGGATAACCACTGAAAATCTGAGAGCACTAAACAGCTGTTTTAGTGAATCTTAGTCAACTAAAATGCCTTGGAAATGTACTGCTCATGCCTAGCCACCACCTACCTCGATATGCCCTGCAAGAGGAAAGTGGATTAGGTTGGGAGAGGATTCATTGTAGTCAGAACAAGATAATGACACCAGTCAATGAAGTCTCTGACTGTTGGCTTGAACAATGTGGGGAGATGTAGACTGCCTTGTTAGGGTTGCCGACATGAAAGGAACCAGTGGTTGAGGACTCTTGATGACATGACCGGAAATCCGTCACAATGGCGTAAATGTATCCACTACTTGGCATTTTCTAGAGCTTAAATACTGGCATTAACTTTGATCTTCACATTATTTATTCTCTCACACTCCTGCTTTATCCTTTTTGAAATCGCTTTTACTATCCATCTATTGTTTGTGTACTACTGTGAAGTGTGACAACTTGAGCAGATGCACTTGTGTGAGAGGTTCTACGGTGATTCTGTAAGTCAGTCAGTCAGTCGTTGCACTAGTTATTCTTCTTTGGTTGATTACCTTTCAATTAAGAAATCTAAAATCCTGAGCCAAAGCATTTAGACACAAATTCAAGAGAACAACGAAAAGCAGAAACTACTTGACTGCTTCTTCAACGATGGATGATGACTTCATTTCATCACATACAATAAGGTGCTGTGCTCAAGTTTTATGGAACAGCACAAACAATACTTTGTACCCATCTCAATTTCAAATGAGTTCTTAATATCCACTTACAATAACCCATAGAATTAAAATCATAAGAATGTAAAATATTTAACTGTTGATGAACTAAACATATTTATTTTCACCATCTAAAACTGTACATTATGAAATGGAAAGAATAATAACCCTCTACATTGTCAAACACAACGAAATGTTACATCTTTCTTGGATTCAATCAACTGAACTTCTAGTTTAATAATGCATCGAAGTATGAGAGAAAGCATTTCTTCCGAATAACCAATGAGAAAATTTAATTCACCTGATGCGATTCGCTTGCTGAGTAAGAAGGCTACACGTACCGTATTCCATTGTCTTTTGATAATAATCTACAGAATTTACAAGTTAAAAGAAGAGATTATCAAGTCACAGAACTGTCAGCTAACAGAAAAAAATGACATTTAAAAAAGACAATACATGGTAATTGTTTACAGAGTGGTTAATAACAGACGTAGCTATATCCTAGCAATTTCTGACGTTCATACTGAAGCTACGCCTTCTCTTCATCTCATTCTCAAAACGGAAATACGCCATTACCTGAAGTTTTAATTTTATGATTGCTTTCTGTCTGATATTTGTTAAATTAAGCAACTTCTCTTCTTGCCTAAAGCTGGTGTGCAACAGAAACAGATGATTTGCAAAGCACAGCTACAAAAAGTGACCACTGTAGGGTTTTCGGTCACAAGTCCCCAAAAAAGCAACTTAGACCCCTTTACACCAGATCTAGGTCTTTTAGTCTCAGTAGTGAGTTTTCCCGACATGATGAGTACATCTCTCAATATCGTTTTTTAAGAAGGTACATAATCCAATACAACACCGATGAGACCGATAGCTGCTACCTTGACTTGGTGGTCGGGCTTGCACATTATAGTGACCCAAAGAGCTACATTGGCTGCAATGCTTGTTCACTCGAGGTCCTAACATGCCAGAAAGGCCTGTCCGACAGTGGTAACACAAAAAGCCGTTACCGTTGTGGTTTAAATTTCTGAGCTTTGATGAGGGTCCGAGGGAGAAGTCGCACTGCCGGTTGACCAGATTAAGGAAGTAATAAGGTGTATTCGCTGATGACCAGCAGTAAACATGCTGATGCTGACTCCTCTATGGAGAGTGAATGGGGTTAGAAAAGGTTGACTCCAGAAATAGAACACTCCTACATGACCTGCGGCCTGTGGTATCCTGGTGTTGGCGGTATGAGTTTTTTCTGTCCGACGTTAGAACAATCAAACTGCAAACCAACAATACTCAAAATTCTGTGTTTGACAGGCCTCAAGCAGATGTCTCATGGGCTCTGCGGTCACACAGATCGTCATCTCCTTCACGCGCCCTGCAGAAACAACTCCCAATGTGGGCAACCGGGAAATACCGGTCAACCGCACGCTTCCAGGAGTATACAAGATTCAACCAAACATAACCTATAATCATCGCCTTAGTCACCTATCTTGCCTTCACCACCTGCTATTAACAATAGGCTTCTTACAACTTCCGCAACCACTCATACTACGACCATTGCAAATGATGCACCCGATCCAAACACCACACCCATCTGCTGATTTCATAGTGAAGCTTCCAACGTCCGTCAGATAGACTAAATCAACGTGTAATCTTGCATAGAAGTGCATCGCTACAAGTTGTCACACTTCACAGTAGTACAGGTGGATAAAAAAAGTGATATCAAAGTAGAAACATTGTGTAAGAGAATAAACAATATGAATATATAAAGGTTAGTGCCAATATTTAGGCTTTTTTATAAGATGTCAAGGAGTGAATACATCTACGCCATTGTGACCGATTTTCAGCCACATCACCAAGAATCCTAAACGACTGATTTCTTTCGTCTTAGGGACCCCAACAAGGCAGTCTACACCTCCCCATACGACTCAGGCCAACAATAAGAGACCTCATCAACTGGTCCCACGTCTTGCTCTTGCCACTCTGAACCCTCTTCCAACCTAATCCACCTTCCACTTGCATGGCATGTTGAGGTAGGCAGTGACTCGGAATGCGCAGTACATGTGCAAGGCATTTCAGTCGACTTCCCTATCTTCCCTAGTACCTTTTGCCTGGCTTCATATGATGATTCCAGCAAACGTGAGTAACGCTCTGAAAACATCTGTGATTAAATACCTGTAACCGCTTCATAACTTCTACTTTCAACAGGCGTGTCTCATAGCCATATGATATGACAGACTGATTACAGAGCGCAGTATTCTCGTCTTTTGACAGATAGTTGGACATCTTACCGGCGCCACAGGTGATGCAACTTTATAAACTCCAAAGGCACCATGTGTATCTGAGCACAGATTGCGTCCTTTAACGTCATGCTAACATTCAGGCAAGTAAGGCGGACGACACACTGAACCGTTCAACCCACTATCCTTAAACAAGCAGTAGTACAAAATCACCACGTAACCATCTCTGTTTCGGAATTATTTTCTTACACAAATTTGTGCGAAAATGAAACTTTGCCTGAGCACGCAGTTTCAGCAACTTTTACTCGTTCTTTCAGTATTAATCCCTACAGGACTGAAAATTGGAATAATTACTTGTTACGCAATCTTTCCTAAAATGGGAAGTCTGATTTCATGTATTTTAACCTTCCTGGGTGTGTTCCATTAATAACTTATACAATATTCCCCATACATATTGTTTCACTAGTATTATTATTTGTCACTTGGGTTCTTAGTGGAACTCTTCTCGCCCTTCACAGTTTCTGGCATGATCGCATGATCCAGTCAAGTCAACCACAACCAGGAATATCATCGGTGATACTAGGTGGCAACCTTGTCTTACTCCTGTCTTCACTTCAAAAGCATCACTGAGCTTTCCGTTGTGAATCGCTCAGCATGTGGCGTCTTCATATAGTTGTTGAATGAGGTTGATGAAGGTTTGTGGCACTAAAACCGTAGTGTTGAAGCAGCAGCTGCCAAAATCCTTCTCGGTCGACGTTATCGAAGACCTTTCCAAAATCGATGAACTTGAGGTTCAGTTGAGTTGACTGCCATTCTACGCTCTGTTCTATGATGATGCGTAGCGTAGCGTAGCAATTTGGCCTGCACATGATTGGTTCTTCCTGAAGCCAGCCACCCAGCCAGCCTGTTCCGGTCGTAATTCAGTTGAATCCAGTGTATGTTTTATTCTCTCCAGGACGATGCAGCTTAATATCTTGCTTGGGGTTGACAGGAGCATGATTCTGCTCTAGTTCCTGTAAAGACTTAGGTTGCCCTTTTTCAGGAAATTGACAAGGTAGCCCTTCTGCCACTAAGCAGGTACCTTGACTTCCCTTCTTCCAAACCTTCTGCAACAGTGATGTGAGCATGTCCACTGTTGGTCTCTGCGTCTGTATTCAGTAGTATCTTGAAACTGCACTTTTTTGAAAGTTTTATCAGCAGTCAAATTTACTTATTCTCTACTTTCATGATGCTAAATTTCCTTCAACTAAAGTTAAAAGAAAGAAGTACAGAGAATTTCATAAAGTAAACTAATTGGCCACCAGTTATTGTATAACCTCTTTTGCAAAGAAGGGTTCATTGTCCACTAAATGTAGCACTGGTTTTCATGGCTGCTATTTGGTAACTAGGTTTCTTTCTCTCTCTCTCTCTCTCTTTCATTGGTTTCATCTGAGTTGATCTCTACTATCCCAAATAGTAACCTGCTTATTTGATATAGTGTTGGCAGGCCTCTCACTCTCCTACCTCAGGCCTGTTCTGCTTCACTCGCCAATGTGTCGTAGAAGTGTCTTTTGTCTCTCCACACACTCCCCTTCACCACTTTGTCCAGTGTAGTGTTTCATAGGTTGTGTTCACTTCCTCCTTTCCTTGTTCATCCTTGCACTGCACTGCACCGCAACGGTTTATCTTCTGCTTCACCATCTCCCTCTTCCCATTCTATCAGCTTCCATGTGTCCGTCGACATCCATTCTTCGTCTTGCCTCCTCCTCTTCCTCTTCCTCTTCCTTCCTAACATGGTTGTGCAGGTTTCTTTCAACATCTCTTTCAAAGACTTACAGTGTTCTTCCACTCAGGCTTCTTCACAGATGTGGCCTAATGTCTCCCATCTTGTCCTGACAGCTGATTGAAATGAAAACGTCATTTGTAGTTTCGTGCTTCGCCTTCCGTTCTCGGTGTTCAACTGTACACACTGCCTCCAATCACCAAGTCAATAAATGCGCAGATACCTGCAAACAGTTCTCCATTCTCGTTCATTTCACCGAGTGCTTCTCCACGTATGATTGGTTCCACTCCTGTGTTGTCCGCTCCCAGTTTGGCATTCGCGTCGTCCATTAGAATCTTGATATCGCCAACTGAAGTGGGGTCTTGTCCTACACTGATTGCATTTGTCTGTAGAACTCCTCCTTCTTCTCTTCATCTGGATTATTTGTAGGTGCATAGTGTAGTGTAGCGTAGCATTGTATGATTGTGACCTTCCTCCCCTTTGATTTGAATCTTGCTGTCATGAACCTGTAGGAGGAGATTGGCTCCCACTGCATGAAAGCCTTCGATGCTCTTGAGGACATCATGACAACCACTCCAAAACCTGTGGTTGTCGTCTGAGTGACAATATCGGAGTAGGTTATTGACTCCTCTCCAGTTGACAGTTGAGAGAGTCCACTTCCATTCCATTCCATCTACTTTCACAGATTCCCAGCCTGGCACTTCTATGCTATACCTTCTCATCTCTTTGGCAATCTGGACAGCTTTGCTGCTTTCAAACGTGTGGGCATTCCATGTCCCCATTCTTACTTTCGCTTTCATTGAGAGAGAGATAGAGAAGACTTATCGACCAGTCGGCATCCCGAAGGCTCTCATCAACTGGTGTCATTTCGCCTCTCCAATTCCAGTGAGGAATAAGTTTAATTTAATTTTTTATGTTTCTTTGTGCTTTTAAGTTTCTTCAGTGGTTAGACAGGTTTTGTGGGGTAGGATCGCCAGTCGTATGCCCAGCCTTCCCTCTTTATCCGGGCCTAGGACGCTCTAGTACCTGGTGAGCTGGTTAACTGTGAGAGATTATCTGACATTAAAACCGTGCAGTAAAAGATGCATGATGATTCATCGCATGTGTTTGGGCTTCTTACTTTTTCCGCTTTGCAGGAGCATTTCGAATTGAACATTTGGTGCCGAATTTCAATCTGGAGTTAACTTCCTGGTGGAAATAATACCTACTCCGTGACCCTGAGAATCACTGAACTGCTCGCAATCTTCAGCGGTCTCTGGGACATTTTCACGATAAACTGACTTACTACTTACGATTTTTCAGGCGAGGAACCGTCTAAACCTTCCCAACATTTATAATAGGGGGAATATTCTGAACAAGTGACCCAACCATAGACCAATTTACATACCGGTTCGTAATGCGACTTACCTGCAGTAGCTACACAGTACATGTATTTCAGTACTCTGTATCAAGTGAGAGAGAGCATCGAAATATCGGCCAATTCGCATTCCAAAGGCTTTCACCAAATGGCGTCATTTCACCTACACGATCCCCGTGACCAAAGCGTTTAATATTATTCTGCATCCTTTTTTCGCCTTCGAAGTTTCTATAGCACATAGATAGGTTTCACGGTGTAGGGTTACAAGCCGTATGCCCAACCTCTCCTCTTCACCCGGGCCAAGCACGGCATAGCAACCAGTGAACTAGCGACCTAGGCAAGGATGGTCCCGCATAAATAGCAAGAGTGAATTTAAAACAGCAACAGGACAGACAATATCTTGTGTAGAAATTAGTGGTACCACTATTGTCCCCATTGCTACTACTACAAAAATAATGTGGTCATTTCATGATCATATCCGCTGCTCGCCCGAGGACGACTAAAATCGTCTGATTACCTTAAACCTAATGCTTACTTGAACCTAACATACATTTGTAACCTTTATGAGAGTCAGTCATTCAGTCACTCAATATAAATATACAATCTAGTTTTACTACACAACCGTCCAAACTGCTACGTCACATCAGTACATCAAAATGCAATGCACCAAAGTGAAAAAATTACTTTCCGTCCTTAGTAATGTTCACTCAACCTTGACATTACTCACACGGTGACTCCACCATGCACAGTCTTCCAGGTCTGAAACTTGTCTGGTTTTCTCACACTTGTTCGTGAGCTACACTTAGATGTCGTATAACTAGGGACTCTAAAGTTTTCCTAGCAACGTTGGTTTAGCTGATTTCTCTGTGGTTGTCACAAAAAAACTCTCCTCCTTCACAAACTAGAATGATCACTTATCTGGACTAATTTAGCTAGACCATCTCAGACTCCAATACGCTAAGTAGTACCTCCGTTACTGCATTCAGTAATTTTCTACCCTAGTTATTCAGAACTTCCAACGGCAAACCGTCAGGTTTCCTACCTCTTTGCATCGTTCTAGTTTCGAAACAACCTTCTCAACCTCAAGAAGAGTTAGAGGACTGCTGCTGCGTGCTGAACAAACGGAGCGTCGCTGTGAACCAGTTGGACTGTGCTTTAATTTGTTCTGTCCAACGTTCTAGCCACCTCTCCTGACAGGTTATCAAAGTCCCATCCATTTCAGCGACGGTTTCTAACCATCCTCTTTATCATGACAGTATCCATAGTAAGTTTCAATAGTTGCTGAGCATTACCTAATACTGGTGCATCCTCTATTCCATCCCCTTCACTTTCACCACCCACCGCTGCTGGCGATTATTGCCAATATTCTTGGTCGCCTGACATTTAAGTTGCTTTCGCTCTTCATTGTGGTCAAACACATCTGGAATGAATCTTCTTGCATCAGCCAGTTCGAATGACGCTACCAAAAGCCACTGGCTTTGTTAAGCTTTGGATGTAGGATTACCCACTATCTTTACCACTGTTCCCACCTCAGAAATAATGTCACGCCAGGTCTCCTCAGGATGAGGATTGCTATCACGTTCAAGTAAATACCTAGTTATCTCCCCTCTGAATACCCACTTCACTTTCTCATCTTCCAATCGAGAACACAGGCTTAACTGCCACCTGCTCTCTATGACCACTAGTTCGCAGACATACACGTGCCTGTATTATCGCGTGACCGGAGTCTAAACAGATAGTCCAGAAAGAGTAGCGATCCTCCAACGACGGTGTATGCCAATATGGTCTGTGTGTGTTCATCCTTGGTTTAATGTTGACCGACACCATGTGAGACAGTTTCTCCTCATGCTTGAAGTTATTGCTGGTCAGAAACAAGTGATTGTGGGGACGAAGCTGCAAGGGATGATCACCGTCGTCGAATGTTGACAGGGGATTCCGGAGATACCTCGAAGATGCCTTTCCGATTGGTTCAGCTTTCCTACTTGAGTTTTGAAGTCACCTGTTGTTATCATTACATTTGAACGTTTAGCTTTATGTAGCAGAATTGAGATCTATTAACAGAATTAACTCTTTACATCATCCGAAATGCAGTCAGAGGGTGCTTAGGTTGAGATTACTAGGAATCGGCTAGTCTGACGACCCTTGCTAGTTCTTACAGATCCATTCAGCCGAGTTCTACACTCATGGTTGTTGGCTGGCATCCAATCGAAGAGGGCATATTTTGCTCTACAACTCAATCCTTTGCCTACACCAGGGAATCCACAAGAGCTAGCCGTTGAATCTCCAGACACTTATGAAGTGAACTTGGAAACTTCACCTTGATAGTCATGTATGGTCAAGTTAGTAACCACACTCGGATGTCATATACGTGTTTCAGAAACACAGCATATATCTGTGGCTCGAGATTGCATATTTCTAGCGAGCAATGGTTGTTATCCGACTTGCCATAGGGTTCGGGCTTTGTTGGGGTCCTTAGCATGATGGGAATCAGTGGTTGGTGACCCTCCGTTTTGTGGCGGAAAATTAATCGCAATGTCCCAGACAGATTCACTCTTTGACGTATCCTAAAGCTTGAATATTTTCAATAACCTAGATTTTCATTTTTTTTTTCCTCCCAAGCACTGTCTCCTTCGATATCAGTCTTTTTCGATCTGTAGCGAGTTGCAGACATGCGGGTTAGCAGCAAAAAAACAGACAGAATTACACAGTTCCATCTTTACTAGGATCACAGCTTGAATCCAGCGGGTACAAAACACCTCTCAGTCTAGACAAAGTTTTATATGACTTCATCAATGTTAAGTCTTCGTATTCGTTGTTCCACTTCTCCTAACTCTTTCTTCCCATGCTGCTGCGAAGTGGGGCAATTTGTAGCGATGCACTTCTATGCAAGGTTATGAGTTGTTTTTATCTATCTGTTTGTCTTTCTATCTGTCTATTTGCCATATTGGAAAAATACATCAGTGCAGACTACGATCATTTTAGGCTTTTACAATAAAATCTGACTAAATAGCTTAGTAGGTTCTTTGAAATACGACCGGGTTGAGAAATGTATTACATAGCCAGGTAACTAGTGCTACAGGTACACTTAAAACACCACAAGGAATAACTAACAACACCCCAGTTACACAGATGAACCTTACAAACCTACCGCATAGTCAAGTGAATAAATACACGATTTTGCATACGAATCTCAGATACAGTATATGGAGCCTGGAGAACCAGGTAATAGCATAAGCCCTCTGCAATTAGTCTCTGACAGCCTAGTACTCAAACACTTTTACAGAGTTGCATCATTATTATTATAGTTTTGACTAAAGGCCTTGTTTTTCAATATGACACACGGTAGAGGTTGCATTTCCCAACATAGTTTGACGAACAGTTTCAGTAAACTACATACAAATTTTTTTTAAGGTAAAATAGTTTGATAGGCAGCAAGAAAATACGAAAATATAGTAGATAACAGCAAAGACAACTGACGGTGAGTAGGGGAGATTCGAATGTGGCTGGGGTTTGGCGTATTATTAACCCTTCCCAGTTGCCCACATGATGAAAACTAACTCCTGCAAATAGACACATATATTACCTAACAATGTATCACAAAACATCGGGAAAGAATAACTGTACATAAGCTAAATGTCAGCTAAGCAGAACCAATCTATGCTGACAAAAAGTAATTCATGTATGATACCTATAGGAAGCAAACAGTAAACAAACACAATAGTATACCAAATATGTGTGCATATCCTAAAGATTCTTACCTCACTTGAAACCATTAAAGGAAACGTCCCATTGATAAATTTTCGAATAAACAGATCGTGAAGAGTAACTTCGGCGGTGTAACGGTTTTCTCCCTCTAGATTTGAAGTATTCCAAGAGTTCCAGGATTTCATCACACCTATCTGATGTGGCTTCTTCGTTTGCTCATAATTTTGAGGTTGAGAGCAATCTCTTGTTCGACGTATCACACCAGCTTTGCTGTTTTTGAAAACTACGTTCCCTGTATGTATCTTTTGGCTGGTGACATAGGCACTAGATATTATATATTTAGAATTTGACAGTCGTGAAAACATTGTCACAGAATGAATATAAATCCCCCTGACAAAATGAATAGTGAAGTGGCACAGCTCTTGCCAATATGCTAAATAAACTCCAAGTCAATTACAGTAAGGCGGATGTTACACAAGATCCTATGAAGGAAAAAAACGTAACTGATACACTGAAAGAGTTTGAAGTCATAAGTCTTAGTGTACATCTTACTGATGTTTTTTTTCAATAACACGGAGTAACAACTAGATTTTAGAATAAAGTCAACAAATCATCTATCTTCATGACCATCTAAAGATAATTTGTCTTAACCTTTACAAAATATTGGTCGCTGAATACAAAATCTCATCTACTCTGAGTAGATTGACAAACTTGTAGAGAAGAGCTAGGACAGAAAACGGAATAATTAGAACACCTTTACTAGAAACCTAAGGATGTCAAAAATACATCTGACCCTCGTAAAATAAGGACTGGTTAATCTAGACCGGTTGAAAAGACAGTTCAGAGATTATAAAGTTGAAGTCCAAAATAGTAAGTAACGGGTTTAAATCCTATTTCCTCTACCCCGGTTCATGAGTGCTGGTAGTAAAGTAGTAAAGAGTAGATTAACGTTCAAACAATTCTGAGTCAAATTTCCTATGTTTTCTGACTCCATTCAACCTTCCAACAAAATGTAGCTGAGACATGTTTCCTCAAATAGCTCATACTAATCTAGTGACATCATGAATATTAAAAAATAGACTTTTATACCAAGTGGTTGAACTGATTACTGAAACTAACTGTAACGGGATTATGACCTAGCATGTGCCTCACTGTCCGAATATAGTCGCAATCACTTATGCTTTCCTAGGAGCATGAGTTACCAACTGAATTGAACACAAGCGACATTTGAAAGATCACCAGGAGTTCCTTTGGATTTACAGTCAATGTTTGCACACCTGAATAATTTGCACACAACACAGCAATTTAAAGTATACAAGAAATTTATTTCGGGTTAAAAAATGAGAAACATATTCTATAGTTAATTGAACACGACGTTTTTAATGATAAAATACGTAAAAACTAACTGGGTGGAAAAAAGCTCATAAAAATGATTATAGATTAAAACTATAAAATAACTTCTAAAGAAATTTTCTCCATAAATAAGGTAACTAACCGAAATATACTTGGTAAAATCTTAGATTTGCCTTTCATTGGTCCGTCAAAACAGTACTATCTCATGGTTTAATCCAACTTACCTCCATCTCAGCTAGCATGAAACAATATACCATTACTTCCAGTACTACAGAAAGCCAATCGCAACCTGAATATATGTTAACGTCTCCGACTGCGACACGGTGACAGGGTTCATATCTCTCAGGGAACGTCAATCCCCCTGAGGTTGCAAATACGCACTGCCGACGAGTTACAACAAGCACGAAACGTAGGTTTAAGGCTACTTGTCAATAAAATCCGAACAAGATAATCACCTCATTACATTGTGGCGTTCATATATTATTTACGTTTTGATATTTTGAAGCTCACCTATCCCTACCCTACTCTACTTCCCCACTTTTTCGAAGAAATAATGCAATCATGAAGGTTCTAGTCACCAATTTCTGAAACTTTATCAACCTAACTTTGTCTAGGAGGTCAACGAAATCTCGGTACGGTTAAAACTAGATCGACTCTCCCTAACAAAATACCAGTGGCAAATGTGAGATACACTTTGTTTAAAAAAACAGTAGTTGGTTCGACAAATTTACCGCCTACCGCAACATGCGGTGTTACTTGGGGTAGAACTGGGTTGAGAAACAGCTAAGAGCGGTCAAACCAAGAAATAGCACTAATCTGGATTTCTATTCCGTTTATTAAGAGGCTTTATGCTAGTGTTTATCAACTGAAGGGGTGCACATTAAAGCATTTTACTGAAGGCTTTATATTCTAACACATGTGTGCTAGAGCCTACGCCGAGGTATTAGGTGACTTGTACACGTCGGGTAGTATCCATCGAGGATGTCCATTCTCCCCATCCTTATTAAATTTTGTGCTTTCTATAAAGGTCTTCTTCTGTCTTTTACTGACCACTTAGTCGAACCAGAATACTTAGTGATGTAGTCCTATTATATGAAGATGCCGACAAAATGTAGTCTGCAAGACACCTAGAGTGGCAATTTGAGAATGTTTGAAGCATATGGATATACAGTTTTTATTGATATAGTCAGTCACATATCAACACTAACAAGTACAGACGACATTCTCACATACACGACTCTTGGAAGCAAACCCTAGAATGCTGCCCGAAATAGTAAGTAGTAATGAAACTGTAACCAAACCCATCAAATATCTTTATTTACAACATTGAGACAATTGTTGTATGAAGGCCCTGAAGTGATAATTTGTATTTGCTACGCTTAAAGTTCAATACACCCAAGTTACGCACTTTACAATTCTCTCAACATCTGACCCCGAAACCACTGAAAACAAAATAAGTCGCGAAAACAAACAGACCTAGTTTCCTAAAACTTTACTGCAAATTTCAGATTAGCAATCCCAACCCTATGGCAAGTCGGATAACAACCATTGCTCGCTAGAAATATGCAATCTCGAGCCACAGATATATGCTGTGTTTCTGAAACACGTATATGACATCCGAGTGTGGTTACTAACTTGACCATACATGACTATCAAGGTGAAGTTTCCAAGTTCACTTCATAAGTGTCTGGAGATTCAACGGCTAGCTCTTGTGGATTCCCTGGTGTAGGCAAAGGATTGAGTTGTAGAGCAAAATATGCCCTCTTCGATTGGATGCCAGCCAACAACCATGAGTGTAGAACTCGGCTGAATGGATCTGTAAGAACTAGCAAGGGTCGTCAGACTAGCCGATTCCTAGTAATCTCAACCTAAGCACCCTCTGACTGCATTTCGGATGATGTAAAGAGTTAATTCTGTTAATAGATCTCAATTCTGCTACATAAAGCTAAACGTTCAAATGTAATGATAACAACAGGTGACTTCAAAACTCAAGTAGGAAAGCTGAACCAATCGGAAAGGCATCTTCGAGGTATCTCCGGAATCCCCTGTCAACATTCGACGACGGTGATCATCCCTTGCAGCTTCGTCCCCACAATCACTTGTTTCTGACCAGCAATAACTTCAAGCATGAGGAGAAACTGTCTCACATGGTGTCGGTCAACATTAAACCAAGGATGAACACACACAGACCATATTGGCATACACCGTCGTTGGAGGATCGCTACTCTTTCTGGACTATCTGTTTAGACTCCGGTCACGCGATAATACAGGCACGTGTATGTCTGCGAACTAGTGGTCATAGAGAGCAGGTGGCAGTTAAGCCTGTGTTCTCGATTGGAAGATGAGAAAGTGAAGTGGGTATTCAGAGGGGAGATAACTAGGTATTTACTTGAACGTGATAGCAATCCTCATCCTGAGGAGACCTGGCGTGACATTATTTCTGAGGTGGGAACAGTGGTAAAGATAGTGGGTAATCCTACATCCAAAGCTTAACAAAGCCAGTGGCTTTTGGTAGCGTCATTCGAACTGGCTGATGCAAGAAGATTCATTCCAGATGTGTTTGACCACAATGAAGAGCGAAAGCAACTTAAATGTCAGGCGACCAAGAATATTGGCAATAATCGCCAGCAGCGGTGGGTGGTGAAAGTGAAGGGGATGGAATAGAGGATGCACCAGTATTAGGTAATGCTCAGCAACTATTGAAACTTACTATGGATACTGTCATGATAAAGAGGATGGTTAGAAACCGTCGCTGAAATGGATGGGACTTTGATAACCTGTCAGGAGAGGTGGCTAGAACGTTGGACAGAACAAATTAAAGCACAGTCCAACTGGTTCACAGCGACGCTCCGTTTGTTCAGCACGCAGCAGCAGTCCTCTAACTCTTCTTGAGGTTGAGAAGGTTGTTTCGAAACTAGAACGATGCAAAGAGGTAGGAAACCTGACGGTTTGCCGTTGGAAGTTCTGAATAACTAGGGTAGAAAATTACTGAATGCAGTAACGGAGGTACTACTTAGCGTATTGGAGTCTGAGATGGTCTAGCTAAATTAGTCCAGATAAGTGATCATTCTAGTTTGTGAAGGAGGAGAGTTTTTTTGTGACAACCACAGAGAAATCAGCTAAACCAACGTTGCTAGGAAAACTTTAGAGTCCCTAGTTATACGACATCTAAGTGTAGCTCACGAACAAGTGTGAGAAAACCAGACAAGTTTCAGACCTGGAAGACTGTGCATGGTGGAGTCACCGTGTGAGTAATGTCAAGGTTGAGTGAACATTACTAAGGACGGAAAGTAATTTTTTCACTTTGGTGCATTGCATTTTGATGTACTGATGTGACGTAGCAGTTTGGACGGTTGTGTAGTAAAACTAGATTGTATATTTATATTGAGTGACTGAATGACTGACTCTCATAAAGGTTACAAATGTATGTTAGGTTCAAGTAAGCATTAGGTTTAAGGTAATCAGACGATTTTAGTCGTCCTCGGGCGAGCAGCGGATATGATCATGAAATGACCACATTATTTTTGTAGTAGTAGCAATGGGGACAATAGTGGTACCACTAATTTCTACACAAGATATTGTCTGTCCTGTTGCTGTTTTAAATTTACTCTTACGATGTATGAGGATTATTTAACAAGTCATTGAAAAAAATTGATGGAACGCATTCAGGTATGTTAAAAAGCATGAAATGAGACGGTCGCCATTCTACAAAAGATTGCATAACAAATAATGATTCTGATTTTCAGTTCTGTAGGGTTTAATACACTGAGACAACCAGTGAAAGTTGCTGAAGCTGCGTGCTCAAGCAAAGTTTCGCTGTCGCACAATTCTGTGTAAGAAAGTGATTCCAAAACAGAGGTGATTCAACCGTGTTTTTGGAGTTGTGCTTCAAACTAGTCTTAAGGAGGAGGAGCTAGCTAGACTCCTACCACGAATTATTAATTTTACAGCACAATTAAAGGAAGAGGAGACTACATAAGCTTACGGTTATGCGTTGTACAAGCATGGATACAATGCCTCACAATTCGAGGAAGATGTGACTTACGTAAGATTATCTTTTGCTTTAATAGGAAATTGTCGAAGGCCAAGGAATCTGCTGAGGATAAATATTCATTTTCGATGAATAAGAGTTGCAGCTCTCAGTTTAATTAGCTGGATTACAATGGCTGTACTCAGGTATTTTTTAGTTCAGATACTTTGGACCATCCCAGTGCAGTCGCAGTACACAAGATGCCACAGTTAACCTTCGAAGTTATATAGGAGAGAGTTGTAGAGCAATAGGAAATAAACGCGTGGTTGGACTAACGTAAAGTCTGGTGATACTGTTCACACATCTACTTCATGTTTTTCACACATTCACGAAATGAATGGCCTTGTGTTTTGCGCCTCTGGAATCATATAAGTGTAACAGTCAACTGACACCATAAATATTGGCAAACCCATTTATTGAGAGTATTCGCCCTAGATTTTTGCCGGAGTATTCACCTGGTCTTTCAGTAACTTTAAGTGAGGTTTTCTTTCGCGTGGATTCGATACATGACAACTCGACATGACAGCTGAGGTGGGACCGTGAATTGTCATTTGCTATTTTCAGAGGTTTTATGCAATGCGATACCGCAGAGAGCGGGATGCACTTCTCAGTGTCAGTTCGAAATTGTTGGTTGCAGCATTAGCCACATATTAGTACCACTCCAAGTAATTACTACGTTTTTCTTAACTATACACTTGAATGTGTTGTTGAAGAAATGCGTTGACAGTTTGCATAATAACTACATCCGGACTATGTATATTCAGGTGAGTCTAAGCGTCACTATACCTTTAAATACTTTTAGCGCATAAAACACCGCTTACTTCGAAGGTACCACAAAAATGGGCATCAATTTCCAATATCTTTCAATGAGCTAGGGTAAACCCATTGACTTCTTCGCGCTCCTTTCTAAGTCTCGCAGAGTGGTTCCTAGGCTCTGTTGGATTATGATCCAGGGGATCTACCTGATGGGCCGGTTATAGCTCTGGTTAGCCGACGGGTGGCTGATTAAAAATTTAAACGAATTGTGTGGTTTCTCCAAGGACTTTGGTGCAGAAGGGTTCTTTAAAAGTCTCATCACAAAACGGTTGGTCGGAACGGTTGTAAAAAGAGGATAGGAAAGATGTCCATGGAAATCAAGGGAGAGGAAAAAGTAAGAAAAAACTATAAGGTGAAAGGAAGCGGAAGGCAAGGGGAGAAAAATGAATGGATTTATGGGAGGTAAGCAGTAGGGAGGGCCTTTAAAAAGTGGTATGAGAACTTGGGGTCAGAGGAAAGAGAAGGAGCAAGCGAGATTATAGGACGACTTTTGGGAATAGAGGTGGCAATACTGTTAGTAAGTGATGGTAAGCTGAGGAAATTTCTATGGGGAAGTATTAGGTTGAGTCATGTTCGTGATGATTGTGGCATCACAAAAGATTCGGTGGTCGGTTGGCTGCGCCAGGTCGTGCGGAGTTAGTAGGTCGTGTTAAGTTAGTCGGCATCTCAACTGCATGAGTCTCTGCGCGGCTGTCCAACCCCTTCTTCAGGCTGTCAACGGACGAGGCCAATGTAAACCTTAGAAATCCCCTCAATCACTTTTAGTTCTTGCACAGTGGTCGCTGTTAGAGTCTTAGCTCGACACTCGGAGTGGTAACTCAATGACCCATATAGATCCTTGCTGTAGGCAAGGCTGAGAAATTCGAGTCTTTCGGTGGAGGCTGCAGATACCGTATTATCCGATAGAGAGTTCTTCCTGCTTACAACTATCTGGGAAACAAAGTTTCAGACTCAGACTGTTGAACAAAGCTTATCGAATTTCTTATGATAGCTTGTTATTTGTAGCATTCTAAAGAGGAGGAATGAATGAGACAAACTCGCCCGCAGTTTGTTCTTTAGAGCAGGATATGAAAATAATGTCACACAGCGGGACGACATAGTAGACTGAGTTGTTGTGGTTACCTCACCTTTTCTATTAGGTGTGTTTCACGTTGGAAGAACCAACTCCCCGTATGAGCCCCTTGCTACAGGTTATTTCTTAAATCCGTCAAACATAAAATATGTGATACCTTTTTGTCGAGCCTGCGAAAGGCCTAACATGGAAACCACAAAATTTGTCACTGAACATTCAGCTGAGCTCACTGGGATGTGGCTCACCAACTTTCATGCCTGGAAGAAATAAACCGCAAGCTCTTGTGTTTGTGATCTCATGTCAACGGGAGACCCTGAACAAGTAACAAATCAGCCCATAACTACTTGCTGCAGTTTCAAGTGTGCATGAAGTTTCCATGTAGATAACCCTTAAAAAAAATGGTTTTTTGTGAAAAGAAGTCCAAGCATCAAATGTTGCTCTGAATAGCGATCCCGCTTTGCCTAAGTTCTAACTAATGTGTGTCCCGTCTAAGATCTTAGCTCAAGCAAGTGACTAGGTGAGCGATCCCAAATATCTACAGCATTATACTTCATTTTGATACATCCTAGTTTTCTGCACTGCAAGTGTCAAATTTCGAGTGTTACGTTGTTTTCTTCAAATAAGTTGAACCTGCGTCCCTGAGGTGAATGAATGAAACAACTGTGATTCCACCCTCGGTCAGTGTTACCTTCAGAGACCAAAGAGTAGAAACAATAAAAAAGGACGTCGAAAGCCAATGAAGACAAAGTGAAAAAACCTTGTGGCCGAACCATTCAAAAGTTTGTGACAGGCCTATGGATGCGAGGTCACAATGGAACTTATCTTGATCATAAACGCTTCAAGACTTCAGTTCATCTTTGAATTATAACTCCTAGGTCTCTGTTTATCGAAGATGCTTCCATTTCAGCGTTATTAAGCTTGTATGTATCGTAAACACTGACCCAAATCGAAGGGTGCCTGGATGCACTCACCAAAGTTTTGATTTCAGCCTTTCATGTCTTCCTCTAATGTCTTTTCTTTATTTCATATGCACCAGGGTTCTCGGAAGACACTGAAGGAGGCAAGCCCTTAATGGAAGTGGAATAAATAAGAATCTTCACTTCTAGATGCCCCGGGACTCTGCCTCGGAATCAGGTTTCACTGGCTTTGGCACGACTTGCAGTAACCCCGAATAAGCCATCTTACCAGTAAGACAACGATGAAGCCATTATTTAAGAAGTATTTCCAACTACTGTGAACTTTGCGGTTGACTTAGTTGAAGACTTTTGGAGACTGATACACATGGTTTTTATTCCACATCCCCTACCATAACATGTTCATTTAGCTGCAGCAGTGTGTAATACACAGATATTCGTTCCCGATGTGACGTATTTGGTGCTTAAAGTCAACCGATTACGCGCACTTGCACAAGTTACCGCAGATAAGGACTACAGCACCCTAGAAGTTAGGTGGCAAATTAAAGACTTGAGTCATCGGATCATTTTGCAGCCAACGAATGTAGACGTGGCAGTGCCCTGTCTCCAAAGCCTAGACACCAGTCTGTGGCTCGGGCAGTAAAGGGTACTTTCCTCGAGGCTTTATTAGAGAGCGAACCTCTTTCCTGGAGGACAAATGTGTGAATTACTTCCTAAGCAGGGAACCCTGGTTTACGGGGTTGGTAGCTTTCGGTGTCCCGGCTAGTCCGCAAGAATGACGACTGTCAATGCCAATGTCCTTCCAGAATATACATAAATATATCCATACTCATTCTGCCATAAGAAGGGTTTACAAACACTGACCAGTTAGCATTTCAGTCGCCTCAGTATCACTGACAGCCACCGCACTAGGAATAGGCAGGCGGAAGGCTTTTTTCTTGACTTAACCATATAAATACAAACTATGAAAACCAACTTTTCGTTCGAAAAAATTTGAGCAATAGCACCAGATCGATCGTGGTCTTTAAAATCTCTCAAAAACCAGGTAAAAGGGTTCCTCTTCCTCTCTTGCTGTTCAATGTCAGACCCACGATGGCTCAGCCCAGTGATAATGATTCAACCCCATAAATATTAGTATTACCAGGCATGATTACTGAAAGCTCGGCAAACTAACTGATAGCGCAGACAATTTCGTCGGTCATAGAACTCCGCAGTATTGTAGTGTACCTTCCTGGCGCCGAAATACAATCACGGCTAAGACAAATACATTAAATTAAATTAACCAAATAAACCTCTAGCGCCCCTCTGGATGCTCTGGGTGTTTTAAGTTTTGTTTTAATGAACATGCATCCGAGTGGGCTTCGGCGCCATTTCACATTCACTTTGTGCTGGTTAGCACGCACGTACTCAGAGTCCATAGCTCAGCCATACTAGCCGGATGAGTTGGATAAACTTTCCCCCCACTCATCACTATTACATTCACTCTAATCAAATACATTACTTCTTCAAATATATCCCCGAACTGGCCCCTTTGATTTGTGTTTTGTTATCAGTACTCACAAGTTAGATAGGGTAGTGGTCAAGCGGGTACTACAGTACATTCAGTTAAGTAGGGTTGATCAAACGTCACGGAATAGTAACACACTCCTCCTACAATATCACCCGTACACCCAAACGCCAGGTGTTAATTTTGGGAATAAGGGTATCAGATGGAGCATTACGTATTGTCCATGAAATTAAGGTAATTTGGTCACGGATAATCTGCATTTAGCCAGTGAAACTCCCTGAACTAACAGCTACAACGAAAGGTTTCATTGGCTTGGTATTCAATGGAAGAAGCACTTTGAGGTGGTGAGAATCAAGCCATGTTTCCGACACATATGTCACTATAGTAGGCTAACAGCTATGACCCCTGTTTGTCTAATTTTCAGCATCAAAAGACATTCCAACACAGCCGTTTCACACTTAAGTAGGAGCTTGTTCCTTCACTCCCGGGGTTTTGATGGGGTCTCATGTCGTCATGCAAAACTCAAGGCCTGTTCCGATCGAAGTTCTGCGAAGGGCTGCACAGGAATGGTAGACGTAACAGACGCTTTAAAACCGCCTTTTTCCAACGTACTGTGGCTCTAAAATCATGTCCTGTAATCCTAATCGTATATCTGTGAAATATTTCCTGTAGCTTATTCAGACCTTAGATAGCCCGTTATCAGCAGTGTACACAAAACTTCAAGTTTTAACATCACAGACACAAAAAATCTTGATCATCGAACTTCCATTCCCTTGTAGAGGTTTGAGTCAGGAGGAGGAAGGAGGTCAAACATTGGAATAAATCACGTCACCAACCGAATTTCATCGATTACTAGAATTGTTTGACACACAGTCAGTCAACCGAATCAACGTAGAACCTCCTGCACTGGCGTATTTCCTCAAGTTGCCACACTTCACCGCGGTAAAAAAAGAATAGATGGATCTAGAGGAGTGATATTAGAGAAGATAAAATAGTAGTGCGAGGGAATAAGCAATCTGAAGATAAAGGTTAGTAGCAGTATTCAAGCTTTAGACGATGTCGATGAGTAAATACGTCTACGCCACTGTGACCGATTTTCAACTAGGTCAGCAAGAGCCCCCAACCACTTACTCTATTCGTCTCAGCGACCTTACCCAAGAAGTCTACATTTCCCAGCAAGACTCGGACCATTAGCACGGGACTTCATCGACTTGTGTCAGGTCTTGGCCTGGTCACCTCAACCCTCTTCCAACTCATCCAACTTCTCTTTGCGCAGCACCCCGGGGTGGGCAACGGACAGGCATCTCATTTGACCATAGTTCATAACGTCATCAACTGACTTGTCTTTTTTGCCTAATACTTTTCCCTGACCTCAAAATTACCCACATGGGGATTCCACCAAGTGCGATCAAAGGCATGAAGACATCCATGATCATACGCCAGCAACCAAGCCGTGTTTCAACAGCCACGTCCCACAGTCGTTAT